GTAGTAGTAGTAGTAGTAGTAGTAGTAGTAGTAGTAGTAGTAGTAGTAGTAGTAGTAGTAGTAGTAGTAGTAAGCTTAGTAGTAGTAGCAGCAAGCAGAAAGGTTTTGAAAAGACTTGGATGGAGAGGAGCACCGCATGATATTGCATAATACTATGTCAGCTCACCAAAACAATGAAGTTTCAGAGGAAATGATGCTGCAAAATCTCGCGCGTTTATTTTTCAGAAAAACCACTTGCAGCTGACGAAAGCGAAGCAAAAATAACAAATATCTAACCCACTATCTCCCACTTGTAATGTCGCCAACGCAGAGACAAGTGGTTGGAGGGTGTTTTTTTTCCCTTTCCTTTCATGTGTCTGACTTTCTGCCGTCTTTCTCTTGCATTATACTTTAACCCTATCCGTACGTCGTGTTTTACTATCGTATCCATGCGACGTGGAGAACTCTGTGTCACCACTTTCCAAAGAAGAAATTTACTCGTTAATCCGATCCGTACGCTTTGCATGGCAGTCTGTCAAAATGATTTTTTGAGAAATACTGAAAGTATCAAAGAGATCTTCGAACTAGATCTAAAAGTATTCTACTGCCCCCGTGGTATTTATGCACCCCGCATAATTTCGCAAAATTTGATCATTTTTTTGCATAATTTCTGATTACTTTTCTTTATCATTCTTTGTTAAAATTAACATAATCGCATGATTTCACTTTTTTGGGGGCTCAGATTGCATAATTTCAATATTTTTCTTGTATAAAACGACGGGGACAGATTCTAAAATGTGAAGAATACAGCCCCGGGGTCCGGGGTACAAAATGACCCCAGGGCGTACGGATAGGGTTAAATGACAGAACCCGTGTTCATATGTGAGGCAGCGTGGTGGAATCAGGCTCTCGTCAATTTTTGGGCTTGTGGAAATATTGGTATCACCTTAAAGCCTGTTCATTTGTCTATCTTTCTGTGAGAAAAAGTACCCTCTATCTTTAATAGAAGTCGAAATATTTGTGATTGAAGTAAGTAGGGTAACCTGATTTCAGAGAAAAAATAAGGGAGAAAATGACCGCCAAAGCTTGGTATCTTTGAATGCGTGAGAGTCCTTGAAAACTAAAAATGAACATTTTTTGTACCCTTAATCAACGTTTTTCAGGATAATAAAAACAGAAATGTGTTTCTAAAAGGACATAAAAGCTGTTGAGCTTAAAAACAAAAATGTGATAAAAATTGCCCAACAGGCTGAAAAATGCCTATATCTTTGATTTCATTATTTTGACGAGAGCCTGATTCCACCATGCTGCCTCACATATAGGCCTACCTCGCTTTACTCAAACATACCAAACAAACAGACCAAAACACGATCAAACGAACGAATGAACGAGCAAACAAACAAACACACCCCCACCTCCTTTGCACCCTCCTCTGGGCTCCTGACTCTTTCTGCAGCCTTTGTACTGCTACTCCTTGGCTCCTCCTTACTGCTGTCTTTCTGCCACACCCCTGGTCTTCTGGTAGGAAAGATCTACACCTAGCCTTTTCGGACAAGGGCAAAAAATCTCGGAGGTCCCGTGTGCAAGTTGCGCACGTTAAAGATCCCTTGGTGGTCTAAAATCGATAAGAGTAAGCTTCGGCCGCCACCCGGGCAAATTAAAAATTTCCTACCAACTGAAAATATTAGGGGTGTCCCGCGCTCTCATATAACCTTATGCAGTTGCAAACGCCATAAAACACTTTACAAAAAACCCAAAACAAAAACAAAAACAAACACATAAAAGACAAACAAACAAACAAACAAACCAGAGGTGTATCTTACTATGACGACAAGTAGGGGACATGCCGTTGGTGCTACTATATATATTTGAAGACAGCACTGGTGAAGTCGAATGTGCAATGCATTTACCCCCGCCC